CTACCCAAACGTGCTGTTTTGCAAAATAAGAAAAGAAAAACCATGAAGGAGGAGGTGTGAGAAGGGCATAGATTACATTCAGGTAGCTTGGCTCACTGGTTTTATGAGGTATTTAATCACTACTCATTATGACTACTGGCAGCTAGTTAAATTCCATCGCTGGCCCCATTACAGTCAATTAAAAAGTTACCTTTAGGGGCTGGAATTTAACATACCGGCTCTTTCAGGGAAAGTTTTCTGAGAGCTGCAGCTAAAATGGATCAGCTATTCCCAGAGCTGAGAATGGAAAAAATATATATCACTACCAGATTTGTAGGACTATTTCATTAAACTCTCATTTAGCTGGGACACAAGGCTTAGCAGATGTGTCCCTGTTATGAGAAAAGGTGCTTTTTCTCCATGCCTCCAAAACCTGCCCATCTCTGGAGATGCCTGTCCAGAAATGCAGTGTCCCCCGGCAATCGCCCTGCCAGACCCCAGCCCCAGGGCAGGATCTGTCCCTGCAAGGAGCCATCTCCACTGCAGCCCTGGGGCTGGTTTCCCACCGGAGCTGAAGGAGATGGAGCCCACGCCACTGATGGCATTTCGATTGCTCTGATCAGCTCTGGACATGCACTGTTGGATGAACAACGAGGATTTGGGTTCCTCCTGCCTGGACCTCTGGTGCAGCCCAAGGAAAAAGGCTGAGGTCAGAGACTCAGCTCACCCCACAGCATTTACACACTGAATTTGGGAGGACAGACGTGAACATCAGCGGGAGGTGGGGTAGCGAGGCAGGAAGGGGGCTCCTGGGGAGGGGGTGAAGAGGAGAAGACAGAGGGCAGAGGCTGGGTGGGAGCTGCGCAGCGAGAGGAGCCTCAGGTGGGGCTGGAAGGGGGATGTGGGTGCGTTTGGGGGAGGAAGGAGCGTATCGGTTATGTCAGGAGCCTCGTCACTTCAGGAGCTGCAGCCCCCAGCTCCTCAGCCCACGAGGCAGCGTGCACCCCATCAGTCATCCCCCTGCAGTGCTGACTGCACCCAGCTTAAAATAGCACCCGAGGAGGAGAGGGGGTGAAATGGAGAGCTGTGCCAGCGAGCAGGACACGAGCTCCCTTCCCTGAGGAGCTGCTGGGAGGGAGCCCATGGCTGGGTGGTTCGGGTGGGCATCACCATGAAGGCGGCTGTGCCTTGGTGACAAGGAGCTGCTCCTGCATGCGAAAGCAGCGGCTTTGGTCACAGCCCTGAGTCCCTGGGCACTGCATGCTCCAGGGCCAGCACCAGGAGCAGGGGTCATCGTGGCCACGCTGGAGGTGAGGACACCTTGGCCATTGGGTACCAGCCGGCTCTGTATCTGAGTGCCGGAGCCCGGTAGCTTCACCCTGAGGACTGAGATTGGCACAAACCTCAGCGCCCAGAGCTGCCCTCGCTCCAGGGAACAGCAGGAGCAGGGGACAGGATGGAGGACACCTGCAACGGGGTCATCCCAAAAAGGCTTGAGCCTCCACAGTCCCTCTTGGCTACAAGCCCCATCTGTCCCTGTGGCACCGTCCTGCAGCCTTGGGGTTTCTTGTTGAAGGACATGAAGTGCAGAGTCATCTGGGGAGCACCATCCAGCCCGGGCACTGTTTGAGCCTGTTACAAACAACCCCATGCACCAACGTCCTTAACAACCCAGGTCACATTCAAGCCACCTACCGCAGACACCTACCCTGGGTACCTCAGCTAACTCCTCACTGCTATTCCGGGAGCCTGCAGGGAGTCCTGAATTGCTCATGTCTTTCTTGATCTTACACCCACCTACGCGTGACAGCTCAGAGGAGCCCTCAAAGTGCATGCAAGGAATACAGCGCGCTCGTTAATCCACACCCCCGGGCACAGAGGTGTGAATGAAGCCCGCACGAGCAAGGCAAAGGCAGCCAGCAGCTTTCAGCAAGCTGGCAGCTGCCTCCAAGGCCCACAAGCAGCAGTGTGCACATGGAGAAAGCATCCCTGGCGATCTTAGAGCTGCCACGTTTTGCGAAGGAGGAGGAGGAGGAGTGCAGGAAGGTGGCCCAGAGCAGGGACAGGCAGGCAGGGACTGCGGTACCCTTGTCACCATTAGCTCAAATCTGCACCCAGGGATTACCCTGCCCAGAGCAGGTAATATATTTGCCATATACGTTGATGCATCTGTTTGGGGCTAACCTTGCTGCTAGAGCTGAGTGATGCAAGAAAACCCTCACACCGTGCAGCCCTTGGAGGAGCCCCGGGATGCCCCGGTGCTCATGCATGGGTCTCAGGGGCTAATCGTGATGCTTATCCCTCCAAGAAACAGCCTCGCAGGGTGCTCAGGGAGCACCCACTGAAGACGGGGCAGGTGAATGCAAGAAGCAGAGGGCACTAAGCTGGAGGCAGCAGATGAAGAGAAAGGGGAGGGGTGGGATCCAAGAGGAGGGTGGCTTGCAGGGGGTTTCCTCTGGATTCAGACCAAGACAAGAGCAATGATGTCAAGGGCTTCAGAATTTGTAAACTACTAAAAGAGAGACTCATCCTGAAACCAGAGTCTGGTATTTACCAAATGGTTTGTGCAATGTACATAAACGTAAATATTTTTAATGAAAACTCTGGGGAAGCCTAGCTGTGAACAAAAATAAAATCATTACTATGATAAGAATAACATCATTATTATAATATGCATGCACATTGCTCTGTATTTGTGGTTTATATCACCCTGGTGTGTCCGTAGGCATTTTGAGGTATAACAACAGCCACGGGGCTTGGAGATCGGAGTCTGGCATTGCACAGAAGGAGGAGCGGGGCTGTGCTGATGGAGATACGGATTGATGGCAATCAAAGTTCATGGTCTGACAGCTTTTACATGTCCACTTTTTCAGAGAGGAATTAGAGACCCTGAAGGCAAAATGCCTGTGTTCACAGAGATGCCAGCTCTGTGCCTCCCTCACCATCCCAGGGACCAGGGCCCCGGCTAGCCTTGGGGAGGGGAGGCTCAGTCTTCCACCCAAAACAGCTCTTCCCAGAGACACCAAGATGGGAGAGCGTCTCTCTTCTGGGGGGCCAGCACCCAAAAAAGGCATGTAAAAGTGGATGGTTTCGCATGCTGCATACAAAAGTAATGGTTTCCTAAAGTACTGATATATCCCAGACTTCCAGGGCTGAGGAAGACACAGAAGTATTATGCTAGGAATGGTGCCTGGCTACCACCTTCCCCATAACAGCCAACAGAAGGCAGAAGTGGCAATGAAGACCCGAAAGAACATTTCTGCTCAGTTCTTAGAAAGACACAGACGACTACTCACATCCCCCTAAGATTACGAAGCGTTTTCCGCTATACTGGAAGAGAAAGAACGATGATAACATTTGTTAAGAAAGCACATTTCTAAAACTGCAGGTCTGTAGTTTTTGCTGTGGAGAATCTTAACAGGGGACAGAGTCAGCACCTCTGGGTGACCGCACTGCCCCAGGAGCTAAAGCCCAAAAATGTGACATTAATCTACCAATTGCTCAGAAAAAACCATCTCCCCAATCACCCAACCCCAACCCATGGCTGTTCTGCCAGACGTGGTATCCTGAGGGATTACTGCCTTCAGTAAAACCAGACACCTTGAGCAGATCAGTCCTGGGACCCACGACAGCAAGAGACTGTCTCAACCCAAAATGTCCCTGCAAAATATATGTATATGCATAAGTATCTTCCTTCAGAATATGGAAATCAAATGGCAGTGGTGTGGCTGTGGTTAGCCTGGCACATACAGGTCAGCCCCTTTGGTAATAAGTAACTTTATGATGCCGCGTAAGGGTCACCAGCTTGCTTGGAGCCGGGGAGCAGGAGCGCTTGCAGGAGTACCCACGTGCTCGGGTCGGACCGCACCGTGCCATGCAGCCATGCCTCACGGCTGGGGTGGGTGGCCCGAGCAGGACCTGCTCCTTGCTGGGCAGGATCTGCGTGGAGGCCAGAGCCAGGCAATAAATGCATTTCCACCAAGGACAAGGGCAAGCTCAACCTGGCATGACTTAAACAGAAAACCTGCTTGCAAATAGCTTTAGGAGCAGCTTTAGCTTTAAGTCAGCAGGGAGCTCTAAAAGCCCAGTCCCAGTGCTGCTGGCTTTTCTCTAGCTGCCCATTGCCAACCAGTCTGGGCATCTCAGGGCAGAATGGTATCTGCCCTGAGCAGTTTCTTAGTTGCAGGTGATGTGGAGAGTCCACTAGATGGAAAATCTTATAGCATATTCAGAGCTATCTCATG